GCCACTTTTAGGATAAGGGGATATAATCATAGGCTTTCATCAGGGAAACATTTATTCACAAAAAAGGTAGAAATATGTTACTCTCAACTGTAAAATGCAGTTTTAAATCTAAGATTGATTTTTGTTAACCATGCAATGAAGATGAAGTTGATACTGATCACCTGTGAATGGCAGAACAGAGTACAGATCTATGTGAACTAAGATAGAGAGTGTCAACACAAAAACAGGTGTTGCTGGAAAAGCTCAGCAGGTCTGGCAGCATCTGTGAAGGAAAAAACAGAGTTAATGTTTCAGGGCTGGTGACCCTTCCTCAGAACTGACTGTGGCTGGGAAAATGTCAGTTTATATGAAGAAAATAGGGAGGTGGGTGGGGTAGGGAGTAAACGATAGGATAGAGCCCAAAGAGAGAGAAAGACAGTTGGACAGACAAAGGAATGGCTAACAATCAGGCTGGGAGGGTGATTCATTGTTAATGGGGACTGTTAGTGACTAACAACAGGGGTGTGTAATGGCAGGCTATGTGGTAACAAGGCCTAGTGTGTGGGGTAGGGGGCTGGGACATTGGAGAGTTTAAGCCCTAAAATTATTGAACTCAATATTGAGTCCGGTGGGCTGTAGGGTCCCCAAGCGGAAAATGTGGTGTTGTTCGTCCAGCTTGCATTGGGCTTTGCTGGAACACTGCAGTAAGCCAGAGACAGAGATGTTGGCCAGGGAGCAGGGTGGTGCGTTAAAGTGGCAGGCAACAGGTAGTTCAGGGTCTTTCTTGCAAGCAGAATGTAGATAGTCTGCAAAGCGGTCACCAAGCCTACGCTTTGTTTCCCCAGTGTAGAGGAGACACATTGTGAGCTGCGAATGCAGTAGACTAGATTCTGGGAAGTGCAGGTGAAGCGTTGAATTATCTGGAAGGTACATTTGGGCCCTTGGATACTGGGTAGGAAGGAGGTAAATGGGCACGTGTCGCCAGTTACAGGGGCTGTGGGGAGGTGTTGAGGGTGAAGGAAGTGTGGACCAGGGTGTCCCGGAGGGAACGGTGCCTGCAGAAGGCAGACAAGGGAGGGGAGGGGAATATGTGTCTGGAGGTGGCATCTCACTGGAGGTGGCGGAAATGGCATCTGATGATCTTCTGGATGTGGATGCTGGTGGGATGATGGGTGAGGATAAGGGGAACCCTTTCGCTGTTGCAGAAGGGAAGAAAAGGGGTGAGGGCGGAAGTGTGGGAGATGGGTCGGACCTGGTTGAGGGCCCTGTTGACAACGGAGCTGGGGAATCCTCGGTTGAGGAAGAAGGTGGACATCCCTTGTCGAAGTTGGCCTCATCTGAACATATGCGATGGAGATGGAGGAACTGAGAGAATTGGATGGAGTCTTTACAGGAAGTGGGGTGTGAAGATGTGTAGTCCAGGTAGCTGTGGGAGTCAGTGGATATTAGTGGCCAGTCTATCCCCAGAAATGGAAACCGAAATGTCGAGGAAGGGAAAGGAGGAGTCAGAGATAGTTCCACACTCATCTCTTCCTACCTTGACTCAGTCTTCTCCCCCCGGTCCAATCCCTACCCACGTACATCCATACGCCGGTTTCAAAACTTCCAGTTTACCGGCTCCAGCCACCTCCTCTTTACCATGGATGTGCAATCCCTTTACACGTCCATTCCCCACCATGAGAGTCTCAGGGATCTCTGCTTCTTCCTGGAGCAAAGACCTGAACCATCCCCACCTACCACCACCCTTGTCCGCTTGGCCGAGCTTGTCCTCACCCTCAACAACTTCTCTTTCAACTCCTCTCATTTTCTTCAGGTAAGAGGGGTTGCCTTGGGTACCCGCATGGGCCCTCGTCATGCCTGTCTCTTCATGGGATATGTGGAACATTCCTTGTTCCAGTCCTATTCCGGCCGCCACCCACAACTCTTCCTCCGATACATCAATGATATCATCGGTGCTGTATCCCTCTCTTGTCTGGAATTGGAAAGCTTCATCAATTTCGCCTCCAATTTCCACCCTGTCCTCACTTTTACCTGGTCTATCTCTGACTTGGGGTCAGAAGGGAGCCTCCGAAATGTCCACCTTCTTCCTCAACCGAGGATTCCCCAGCTCCGTTGTTGACAGGGCACTCAACCAGGTCCAACCCATCTCCCACAATTCCGCCCTCACCCTTTCTCTTCCCTCCCACAACAGTGATAGGGTTCCCTTTATTCTCACCTATCATCCCACCAGCATCCACATCCAGAAGATCATCAGATGCCATTTCCGCCACCTCCAGTGAGATGCCACCTCCAGACACATATTCCCCTCCCCTCCCTTGTCCGCCTTCCGCAGGGACCGTTCCCTCCGGGACACCCTGGTCCACACTTCCTTCACCCCCAACACCTCCCCACAGCCCCACGGCACCTTCCCCTCTAACTGGCGAAGGTGCAACACCTGCCCATTTACCTTCTCCCTCCCTTGTATCCAAGGGCCCAAACATACCTTCCAGATGAAGCAACACTTCACCTGCACTTCCCAGAATCTAGTCTATTGCATTCGCTGCTCACCACATGGTCTCCTTTACACTGGGGAAACGGAGCATAGACTTGGCGACCACTTCGTAGAACATCTACGTTCTGCATGCAAAAAATACCCTGAACTACCTGTTGCCTGCCACTTCAATGCACCACCTTGCTCCCTGGCCAACATCTCTGTCTCTGGCTTGCTACAGAGTTCCAGTGAAGCCCAACGCAAGCTGGAGGAACAATACCTCATTTTCCGCTTGGGGACCCTACAGCCCTCTGGACTCAATATTGAGTTCAATAATTTTAGGGCCTAAACACTCCCATGTCCCAGCCCCCCACCCCACACACCAGGCCTTGTTACCACATAGCCTGCCATTACACACCCCCTGTTGTTAGTCACTAACAGTCCCCATTAACAACTATTCACCCTCCCAGCCTGATCGTTAGCAACTCCTTTGTCTGTCCAACTGTGTTTCTCTCTCTTTGGGCTCTATCCTATCGTTTACTCCCAACCCACCCACCTCTCAATTTTCTGCATATAAACTGACATTTTCCCAGCCACAGTCAGTTCTGAGGAAGGGTCACCGGACCCGAAACGTTAACTCTTTTTCTTCTTCACAGATGCTGCCAGACCTGCTGAGCTTTTCCAGCAACATTGTTTTTGTTCCTGATTTACAGCATGCGCAGTTCTTTCGGGTTTTTTTTAAAAGAGTGTCAACAGTCTATTTAGTCTTACAAAGGAGTTTGGAGGTCACGTAGTGGTTGTACAGTGCATTAGTTAGGCCACTTTTAGAATACTGTGTTCAATTCTGATTTCCCTACTACAGGAAAGATGTTTTGAAACATGAAAGCGTTCAGAAAAGATTTACAAGGACGTCGCTGGTTTTGGAGGGTTGAGCTGTAGGGAGAGGGGTGACCTTATAGAGGTTTAGAAAATCACGAGGGGCATAGATGAGGTGAATGGCCAAGGTCTTTTTTCCTCCAGGGTAGGGATGTCCAAAACTAGAGGGCATAGGTTTAAGGGGCAAGATATAAAAGGGACCTAAGGGGCAACTTTTTCATGTAGTGGGTGGTGTATGTATGGAATGCCAGAGGAAGTGCTGGAGGCTGGTACAATTACAACATTTGAAAGGCATCTAGAAGGGTACATGACTTGGAAGGGTTTAGTGGGATATGGGCCAAATGTTGGCAAATGGCACTAGGTTAATTTCGGATATCTGGTCAGCATGGAAGAATTAGACCAAAGGGTCTGTTTCTGTGCTGTATAACTCTATTTGATTGCAATGGTATTAAAGCAGATCCTGATCAATGTCCACACATTTATCATTCCATTGGGAATGGGAACACTGTCAAACTTTCTTCTCTCTGCAGGTACACAATAGCTATTCTTGTACTCTTACTGCTGACCCTGGCTGACATCAGCGAATTCTTTTGGCTGAGGTCCCAAACTGGGAACTTCTCGGACTGTATAATGCACCAAATTATTGTCAGGACCAGCTGAGCCATCAAAACAGCATTCCAAGAGCAATTTTATTCTATTTCCTTTTGTGTATAAGATATTCATTCTCTCATTAAAAATAGCAGGTCTCGTAAGGCTGCTGGCATCTGTGAAAAATATCCATGACAAATCACCAGAAATGGCAAAAACTAGAGCGAGGTGGAGGGCAAGCCTCCTGTTTATGGTCAGATCATTTTTCCCTGGCATCCTGTTACCATTAGACAGTGTGTGCTTGTTTAATATGCTTAAATATTGCACCCTGCCTGCCAACCAAAATGTTCTCATTGCACGCCAGCATTGTAGTAGTATAACAGTAGTTTTGTTAGTGTCAAGACTAGGCTTTTTGCCTGTAATTATTTTTCTAACTTAAGAAAATAAGTGACCATCTTATATCAAACCATTATTTAAAAGTACTTGTATCAAGTCGTAAAATTGGCTTCCAACTGAATCATCACAGATGAGAAATTAAATCAGATGTCCTGGGGAGCAGGCATCAGTGGAAAATGTCATCTGCTGGAATGATAAAAAGGAAAGGAATTGCAGGATTTACTTAATTTCTCATCTTTTAGGATTGATTGCTTTGTTATCCATGACACAGTTAGATTTCCGATGTGTTCTTTTTCTGATTATTAAGTTTTCACTAACCAGGTATTGAAATTGGTACCTGTGCATAAAAGTCATGTCATAAAAGTGCATAAATTGCGCACAAGTCTAATATTTGTTCAGGTTCGGATGAAATGCGCACTCAGACTATGGACTGGAACTCTAATTTATTGTTTATTAAAGTGACTTTTTTTTATTTGGAGTTCTATACTATCAGGTCATTGGGCTCCTGTAATGCAGTGTTAGTGTCCCTTGTTACAAGCTTTTCAGAACCCAAAGAGTTAAGTTCTTTTCCACAGGGCACTTATTCTGTGGTTCCCCACATTAAGGAAGTATAAATTATGAAGTGGAGGATTCAAAGGGTGCTTGAAAAATGCATTTTTCTTTCTGAAAACCAAAGCCCAGACAAATTTCGTCTCTGCCAAAGGAAAATTTTATTCAAAGCAGCATTACTACACAATGGAAAAGGACAGCATTTGTAAATACAGAACTTTACCCAATATCTGGCAGGTACAACAGAACTCAGAATCCATCTATGGGGAATTTACCATCTATGGTAGTTTCATTACTATTTTAAATTAAGAGATGGTGAAGTTTTCAGTGTTAGAATCTCATTTTCCTCATTCCAGTTAATACCTCTTTTTAAACAATGCAGATTTAAAAGGCTTTAAACGTTCAAGTGGAGTAGTTAATGACAAACCCTGACCTTCACAATTGCTTTGGCAAGTCCGCATTTTCTGACATGACTCAGTTACAGTTCAAATATGTTACACTTGAGCTATAATATTTCACATAACAAAATACAAACACTACCATCAAATAAAGTAGGTTTGGCTGGTAGAATTTTTTTAGTTCCTTGTTTCTCTGTCTTTCCACTTCAAATCCCACAATTTGGAAGGACAGCAAACAATTTCTGAATAGCTACCTATCACATTGAAATACCCTGGCAAGTTGGCAACTGAAAACATTGACTTAATGGAACCAATTAAGGGTGAAAATAATTTTATTTGCAATTCCGGGACCTTGTGTTTTACTGATTTTTATCATAATACTGCACTAAGCCACACCATTTCAGGTCCAACATGATTAATGAGTATTTTGCTTAATGAGAATATTTAGCAAAATAACAATAAGTAAAAAGATTTAAACTATTTTATTTGCAAATTGCTTCAAATTGTATGATCTGTGGTACAATATATTTTAATTTTCTTTCATTTGTCCTTGTAATTTTAAAAGAAAAGACAATACATAACATTTTTCATATGTACTTGCTATGCAACAGTTTGGATTAAAACAAAACAGATTTACAACATTGATCAGATCACTTCAGTCTGACAGCCAGGGAGAGGATTAAGTTGCTTCAGGTTGTTCTTACGCAGTTGCTGGAAGCTGATTCGAAAATAGCAAAATACTGTAGGCTGGCAGCAACTTAACCGTCTGCTGGCTTGGCAAGACGATGACAAAACCTTTGCTGGTGGCTATATACTCCTGCTATTAGTAGGCAATATTCTGGGATGCAGAAGTCAGGTACTGCATCAAAGCAGGAAAAAAAATGTCAAAATTAATCAAATCCAGACCACTCTATAGTATCATATGGAGCCAGTTCAGCAAAGCACTGACACACAGCCAACTGAGCTTAGGAAATGAATGAAAAGGGGGAGAAATGAATAACTTCTGCAGTTTCAACCGTGGATCCAAGCTACAAACACATTTCTTTATGACTAATGTATACTCTACCAATTAGTTACATCTTTTCCTTTTAAAATTACAGCTAGAAGAAAATTCTTAATGCTAGAAAAGAAGTCTGAAACATACTGAGTACTGTGCTCTGCAGTGATTTTTTACTTAAAAAACCCTTCAGAATTCTTAAATAAATTGAATTCAATTAAATACAGCAAACCCTGCAAAATACAGTTCTGATTCAACCATAGTTTCATTGTACCATTTGTTCCTATTATATAGGAGTTCTAGTTCAAACAACTTGGAACCAAGTTTCCACAGTTAGGTGAATCAGTTATGTGCTTCAGCAGAAGTAAGGTGTAATTTAGTTTATAGCATATTATAACACTACAGAAACAGGCTGATCAGCCTGACTCTCACTGGATGCAGTGTGCTCATCTGCTCCTGAAAGATGCATAAAGAGATCTCCAAGTTCTGCTACTTCATCTTCAGCTGTATTTTGGGGAATATCCCTGTGCTCCCGTTCTTGAATGAAATCCCATAGTCTCACCGAGTGAAGGAACTGCAGTTTAAATGAACAAAAATCAGTATAATTGTGCACTGCATTTTTCTGGAAGTTTTTTTAGAACATATAATTGCACACAAGTTATCAGCTTTATTTATTAAGCAGATATTTCCACCAGGGAATTAATTCAGTACTTGTGAACATAATTTTAACTGAAGCACCAGCACAATGTTTAATAACTACTTCATTGATATAGATTGAAATTGAATTTGAAGTAATGAATAATGTTAAAAAAGGCATCGAGTACGGTCCTTTCACAATTAAAGCAAGGGCAAAAGTTGCTTAATGTTGATTATGGACAAATACAACAGATTTTCAGGATAATGTGAACATTAAATCCTAAAACAATTTGTAGGCAAAGATACAAAGCAGGCTACTGTGCAATTTAAGACTTCAAATCAGCATAAAAATAACAAAGCCATCGACACACTTTTTGTTTCAGTGGATGGCCACTGATAAAAGTTAAATTTAACTGAATCTTAAAGTAAATACATCCAAATTTGCACCAGGGTCCTTAATTGGATAGGTCCATGTTAACCATCACCAAGTCAATACAGTAGCATCTCAAACCTTGATAACTGTTCACTAGCTGATGCTTTTCAAATTCCAATGGAGAAACACAGATAAAAATCGATCAAGCAACATCATGTAGTTAAATATCTGGAACTTTGATTATTTACCCTCACGTTGCCTTCTGAACTGAGCTGTTTCCTTGGCTGCTCAGGTGCTGCCATTGTTCCATCAGGGTAAGCGTGAAGGTAAAGGCACTTTCCACCAAATGGACAGGACCCTTTCCCTTTGTCAAAATATTTACAAGCCTTCTTGCTGTGAAATGACAATAGAAAAATAGTAAAGAGGGAGATGTACTTAATTCATAATTCTTGCTCTATTTGCTAATCTAGTCTTGGATAAAGCCATCTACATTTTCAAAGGTTCCAGAAAAGTCATATACAATGCTCAAAACATGGAACTTCAATTATTCTACCACTGTTAACCACTTTGTATTTCTGAACCCTTTTTCTACTTAATGATGAGTTTTAATCACAAGAGCTCAATTTCTTTCATACAAACATTAATTTATAATGTAGCTGCATTACAGTAAATTTTCCTCCTTCAGAGGGTTGGAGGAGTGGCAGATGGAGTTCAACTCTAAGTGAGAGGTAATGCATTCAGAGAGGTCAAACAGTATAACTGAATATGCAAGAAATGGGAATATACTGAGAGGGGTAGATGAAGTGAGAGATCCTGGCGTGCGAGCGCACATGTCCCTAAAGATAGCAGTACAGCAGATAAGGTTATAAAGAAGGCATATGGAATGCTCTCCTCCACTGGAAGAGGTATGTAACACAAGAGTAGGGATATAATGATAAGGCACTAATGACACCACAACTGGAGTATTCTGTGCAGTTCTGGCCACCACATCACAGGAAGGAAGTAAACGCTCTGGACAGTGTGCAGAAAAGATTTAGTGTTGCAGAATTGTAGCTACAAGGAGAGATTGGAGAGGTTGGGGTTGGTTTCCTTGGAACAGAGAAGGCTGAAGGGTGACATGATTGAAGTATACAAAAGTGCGAGGGCTTGGTATTTCTCTTTGCAAGAGTTAAAAAAACAGTGGTCATAAATTCAAGCTAAGTGGCAAAAGGATTAGAGGGGATGTGAGGAAAAGCTTTCCCAAGCAGAGGGTGATGGGTGTCTGGATTTTGCTGCTTGAGTTGGTGGTGGAGGCAGAGACCCTAAGCTCTTTCAAAAAGTACCTGGATCTGCACCGTAAGTGCTATAAGGTGCAGGGCGGTGTGCAAGAAGATGGGATTAGAAAGGGCACCTGGGTGTCTTTGGGTCAGCATGGAGAAGATAGGCCAAATGACCCCCTTTTGTGCTGTATCATTTCTATAGTTTCTATGCACTAGGTGGCAAAAGAGGGAGTGTCAGTTTTAGTGAATTTAAGGCTAGGAAAGAGGATTTGGAAAAATGAATCCAATATACACACATGAATCTATACCAAGAACGTCAGTTAAAAAGATGACGACTCTGAAAGCTGCAACTGAAAGCAAGTTACTAATATTAAAAGCCTTTTTTTTTAAAGCAGCAGCTCCTATTTCACCCCAAGTGCTGTGTATTCTTAGAACATGATGTGGTATGAGCAGAGATAAGATATGTGTGCCAAAGATAAAAACATGTAATGCAAACACGCAAGCATTTGGTTCCTCCCAGCGTCTTGTTAACTAAAGCAACATTTTACAACTATTGCAAAAATCAGTAGTTATAGAAACATGGAGACAACTTGTTATGACTTAAATTTGAAAAATGATTGAAGTATGGCACAAAAATAAAAAACACCAAAATTTCACATTAAAATCAGCCCCATAATTAGCGTGTGTTAAGAGCAGAACATCCACTTAGCTATGAAACAAAAAGAGAAACTGTTGGAGAAACTCAAGAAGTCTGGCAACATCTATGGGAAGAAACTCAGAGTAATGTTTCAAGTCCATTGACTCTTCATCAGAACTGTTAGTAGCTCGGTGGTATTTATTCCAAAACCAAAGTGATGGATGGGAAGGTGTGAAGATAGTTGGAGACAAAGCTCAGACAGTGAGAGATATGAAAGGGGTAGGTCAATAAGGAGCTAGCAGGCCAGAAAAGAAGAGAAGCTGAATATTGAAAATAAGAGCTAAGGTGAGAAAACAGGTGAGCTGTGGTGAATGCAACCCAAATAATGTGATAATGGGCCTAGGAGCATGTGAAAATGGATGATGGGGCGAAAAGCAACCCATGTCATAACAGGAACAAAAACAAAGTTGCTGGAAAAGCTCAGCAGATCTGGCAGCATCTGTGAAGGAGAAAACAGAGTTAACGTTTCGGGTCCGGTGACCCTTCCTCAGAACTGATGGTGGCTGGGAAAATGTCAGTTTATATGCAGAAAATAGGGAGGTGGTTGGGGTAGCGAGTAAATGATAGGATAGAGCCTAAAGAGAGAGAAAGACAGTTGGACAGACAAAGGAGTTGCTAACGATCAGGCTGGGAGGGTGAATAGTTGTTAATGGGGACTGTTAGTGACTAACAACAGGGGGTGTGTAGTGGCAGGCTATGTGGTAACAAGGCCTTGTGTGTGAGGTGGGGGGCTGGGACACGGGAGAGTTTAGGCCCTAAAATTATTGAACTCAATATTGAGTCCGGAGGGCTTTAGGGTCCCCAAGCGGAAAATGAGGTGTTGTTCCTCCAGCTTGCGTTGGGCTTCACTGGAACACTGTAGCAAGCTGGAGACAGAGATGTTGGCCAGGGAGCAAGGTGGTGCATTGAAGTGGCAGGCAACAGGTAGTTCAGGGTCTTTTTTACGAGCAGAACATTGATGTTCTGCAAAGCGGTCACCAAGTCTACACTTCGTTTCCCCAATGTAGAGGAGACCACATTGTGAGCTGCGAATGTAGTAGACTAGATTCTTGGAAGGAGTGTTACTTCACCTGGAAGGTATGTTTGGGCCCTTGGATTCTGGGGAGGGAGGAGGTAAATGCGCAGGTGTTGCACCTTCGCCGGTTACAGGGGAAGGTGCCGTAGGGCTGTGGGGAGGTGTTCGGGGTGAAGGAAGTGTGGACCAGGGTGTCCCGGAGGGAACAGTCCCCGCGGAAGGCAGACAAGGGAGGGGAGGGGAATGTGTGTCTGGTGGTGGCATGTTGCTGGAGGTGGCGGAAATGGCATCTGATGATCTTCTGGATGTGGATGCTGGTGGGATGGCACGTGATGTCATAACAGGACCAGGTGTAGGATGGGTAAAAAAACAAGGATGGAAGGAACCAGGCTGTAGTTACTGAACTCAATGTTAAGTCCTAAAGGCTATAGAGTCCCCAAGTGGAAAATGAGATGTCATCCTTCAAGCTTGCCCACTGAGTTATCCTTTCTCAATTTAAATACACATTAAAATAGAAGTTTGTGTCTAAGGTCTCTGTTACCAGTCTCCACATTATGCCAAATTCTGAAACAATTTTTTTTTGCTACGTGCATTATATTATAAAGACACATATTCAAGTTTATTTATAGCGTTTTTTCAGAAATACAGTACACACACCATATAAGGTAATTATTCATGTTGATCAGAATAGATTCTCCTAAAAGAAGAAAACCAGATGTAGACTCAAAACAGAAAAACAATTTCAAACAAGTAACACTGTAGTACATACAGAACCCTTCCTGTAAGCTCACTTATTGAAGTTAATCATACTTTACAAAATTACATCAGAAGTAACATTTACCCTTTTTGGGGAAATACAGCAATATGGTATTGCAGCCTTTGTCTGAATTTATGTTACTGACTCTGCTAACTTATGGACAAATACAAAATGACTTTTTGTAAATCTAATTACATAGTCATAAAATACAGTCAGAATACTCACCTTTTACCTTCCCTTGGTTCCATTCACAACAGTTCTGCAAATTACATTTAAGTTGTTTATTGGCTAAAAGAGGCAATGCCTTCACAAGGGAAAGGAGGAAAATTAGTTAGAATAAAACTGTACAAGTTTTCAATTTTAGGGTCCATCTCCATCAGTTGAAAAATCAAAGTGCAATATTGTTGTATAGGTGTTGGAAGGTCATGGTCTATAGGAATTGGGAAGTCATGTTGCGACTCTACAGTACATTGGTTAGGCCACTTTTGAAATACCGCATTCAATTCTGGTCTCCCTGCTATAGGAAAGATGCTGTTAAACTTGAAAGGGTTCAGAAAAGATTTACAATGATGTTGCCAGGGTTGGAGGGTTTGAGCAATAGGGGGAGGCTGAATAGACTGGGGGTATTTTCCTTGGGGCGTGGAAGGTGAGGGGCGTCCTTATAAAGGTTTATAAAATCGTGAGGGGCTGGATAGGGCAAATAGTCAAGGTTTTTTCCCCATGGTAAAGGGCCTAGGTTTAAGGTGAGAGGGGAAAGATTTAAAAGGGACCTAAGGGGCAACTTTTTCAGACAGAGGGTGGTGCCTGTATGGAATGAACTGCCAGACGAAGTGGTGGAGGCTGGTACAATTACAACATTTAAAAGGCATCTGGGCAGGTACATGAATAGGAAGGTTTAGAGGGATATGAGCAAAATGCTGACAAATGGGACTCAATTAATTTAGGATATCTGGTCAGCAGGGACAAGGTGGTCTGAAGGTCTGTTGCCGTGCTATACATTTCTATGACTATGTTTGCAAAACGTTTTTTGCAGTTTCTTTTAAATTTGTGCTTTCTGATTTGGTCTCATTAACAAATACATTCTTATACCTATTCTTCTTTCAATAGAAATTTAGCAGTTTGAAATTAGATCACTTTGGATTTCTGACACTACTGAATTTGTGCTAATTCCATTTGACAAGAGATTATGTTCAGCTAGAGTGCCACCTAGGGACCAAGCCAAGGAGAAAACACTGATGAAGCAAAACACATTCTGCACTTATCTGTAGTAATTTTACAAATCAGAAAGGATCTGACATTATCACAGTACTGAGTGCCATGCAAATCAGTAAGCTATACATGATAGTTTCCTAGACTTTGATGGAAAAAAACTAACCCAGTCACTGTTGAATTGTATTTTCTGTCTAAAATATACGTAGTGTACAAAAGCAGAGAGTAACTAAGTCAACCATTTAAAAAAATACCAACAAGTCACCTATGAGAGCTGATTTAACACAAATATAAAAACAACTGCTTTGAATGATTTCCAGCATGTCCATAATGTACAGGAGAAACTCATAATGCAAGGCCTCAAGCAAAGAAATGAAAGTCTCAGAATGTCACACAAGGTACTCTCTGGAACACTACCTGCTGGCTAAGCTTTCAGCAGGCTCCAAACAAGCCCAAGCTTCTAATCACACCAGCTTTGCTTCTGGGGGTCAGCATTCATTACTTTTCACAAACAGAATGCTAGGTGAAGTAAGGATGTTCCAGCATGTATAGGCATAAAATGAATGGGCTCCATTCAAACTAATAGAGAGCTACCATTTACTGTGGATACTGGGATACCATCGTCTCTAGACCTTATTCTCTCGCACTGGTAATTCTGAGCATTAAGGAGATCCACAAATTGGTTTGGCCAAGTAAGAAAAAAAAAAAATACACTGGGACGTAGGTGTCAGTGGCAAGAACAACATATGCCCATCCATAATTGCCCAAATTGCTCGAGTCAGCCACACTGCTGTAAATCTAGAGTCATATGTAGGTCAGCCCAGGTAAGGATGACCGATTTCCTTCCCTCAAGGATATGAGTGAACTAGATAGGTTTTTACGACATTCAACAATCGTAGTCACGGTCACTATTACTGAAATTATTCCAGATTTATTAACTGGATTTAAATTCCACCAGCTGCCATGGTGGAATTTGGACTTGTGTCTGTGATATTGGCTTGGACTTCAAGATTACTTATCCAGTAACATTATCACCATGCTACCGTCTCTCCCTAAATAATTACTGTTTTCCAGTTGGATGCTTGAATGCCCTTTGACTCTGAGGTGCTTATAACTTAATCATTTTCCCAGAAATAATGAGCTAATTTGATGAAGGCAGGAGATAAGCCACATGACATCCTCCTAGTTGTAAGAATATGAAATGCTGACACACAACCAGTGAAAAGTACTGACTCAAACAGAACTTATTTTTGATTAACTTATTAAGCACCTTCATTCTGATCTTATTACATTCTTGTTGAACAATCTTCATCAGTGGGAATTCAACACCCATCCATAACGCAAGGATGCCTCACCTCATTCCCTGCTTGAATGCTTCAATAAGCTGGTCCTTCTCCTCTTTATCCTCTACCCAATAAGCACTAGGGATTACAAATTCAGAAACCACTCGACACTCAGGGCAGGACCTAAAACAGCAATTGTTAAATAGAGATTTTTAATAGAACATTAGCATGTACAAGATATAAAATACATTATAACCCGAGTGACCTAAATGAAGAATTGAATGAATCAGCAAATTTGCATCCCTAATGCCTTACTTATAAATTATAAATATATTATAAATTAGAATATATAAAAATGCAAATAGCACTAGATTGGAGCACGGGTATCTTCTGCCAGATCCTTTATGAATTGAGGAACAAGTGTAAGGGTGGCTCAATGTTCCATTCTAGAAATTTGGGGATGTCAATCATCATCTAATAATGTATCTCCCTTCACTATGTGAGACTGCGTTAGTTCCATACAAACTCCAATATATTTGTTAAACACAAATTCCCTTCCACAATTATGCTGACTTTTCTCAATTAAATTTTTTTAAAAAAAAGTTCCCAGCTGTAGTCTCCTTAATAAACAACTTGAACATCTTCTCTATGTCAGATGTCAAGTTTTAGCTTCTTCTTTTCTGCCTCCATGCACTCTTGAATAAAGGAGTCATATTTTCTAGAAAATTTTGGAAGATTAACACTAACACATTCACTACCTACTATGTTGGGAAGATGTTTCCACTGGTAGGAGAGACTAGGACATGAGGGCACAGCCTTAGAGTAAACAGAAGACCTTTTAGAACCGAGATAAGGAGAAACTTCTTCAGCCAGAGAGTGGTGAATCTATGGAATTCACTGCCACAGAAGGCTGTGGAGGCCAGGTCATTGAGTACACTTAAGACTGAGATAGATAGGTTCTTGATTATCAAGGGGATCAAGGGTTACGGGGAGAAAGCAGGAGAATGGGGTTGAGGAACTTATCAGCCATGATTGAATGGTGGAGCAGACTCGATGGGCCAAATGGACTAATTTCTGTTCCTATGTCTTATGGTCTTACCTCATTATCTAACCCTACGATGAAGTCCATCAAGACCCAGGAACTTGTTAGCCCACAGCTCCATCACTTCGCTCAGTACCACTTCTCCAGAGATTGTACATTTATCAAATTCCTCTGCTCCCCCCATCATCCAATTTACAATGACGCTCCCTCTAAGATGCACCCACAGTCATATCTAGAGTCTGCTTACAGTGATAGGTGTGCTGATCTGACACCCAGTTCTGCCTGAGCAAGCCTCAAAGGTCCGCACAGAAGAAAAATAATGGTAACAGTGGTTACAATGAAAGATATTTCTGTAGCCTTGAAGACTAATATGAAAAGACAGTAGCAGCTAACTGAGGTACATGGCATCTGGATCGCTGTTCTGGATGCAACCTTTCCCATTTTGGACCTGACTCCCCTTTGCCTTCCACATTTGATCACTTGTTGTCAGATATAACCAGCATTGATATGCATTAGGTCAAAGGGTTGGGTTGGGAAGGAAGAATTTCATCAACATAGTTTAAAGCCTCCACCGGATTGTGGCACATTAACTATGATTTTTATGGAAAGGAAATGTTATTAGTTCCATTCTTCCCAAATCATTGGATCCAATATTAAGATGATCTAGCAGTTCATGGCACTGTTCACTCAGTATAGAGCAAATTTCAACTGTCTGTGCTTTCTCAGACAGTGCAACAGAGGTTGGAATCTCATGCAAAAAATAAATGTCTCAATTAATCAGCCTTTTCCCACACAACTTATCATTACAAACCCATAAAATAAAAATCTATGACATACATATAGATTGAAAAGAATTTTAAAAAATAACAGATTTCCCTCTAAGCAAACAAACTTTTTCACACACATTCATGTGCAGTGCTAGTCAAAGCCTCATTAATTGCTATAATAAATCAGACCAGTCCAGCGTAAGAAGGAATGGTCTGTATAAGCAGCTATTGATTTTCCCAGGCTGACCCATTCCTTTGTCTGCCCAACTGTTGTTCTCGCTCTCTCTCTGGGCTCCATCTCCACCTATTGTTTATACCTCTCTCTCCCAAAATACAATAACCTTCACATGTTCAAGAAAGTGCTTCACCATGCCAAATAACTCTATTCTGTACCAATATCCGATAGAAAGCCTCATTAAAATTGCTGGCCAGTTGTTTCATTAACCATAAAATGACTGTGACCTGCATACCAATAAAAACAGTTGCACTCACTTGATTATTTTATTCTCAAACTGCTTTGCACATCTCCACTGTCTAATGCAGGACAGACAATATGGGTGAATGCAGTCAGAAAGAATTCCAAATCTTCTCTCAGATGGTATCATTTTATCATAGACTATCTCCATACAAATGTTACAGACTTTATCTTGACTCTTTTGCACAGCAAAGGCTTTCTCCATGTCTTGTTCAAATGCCATGAGGCACATCTGAATGAAACAATAAAATAAGTCAGCATTTATAGGGGACAGACTGAATAAATTTACCCACCCAATAGACTTAACACCACCTGTCTTGTGGTAGACCAGTGGAGCTTTCCACATATTGATAAAGTTTTCAGCTAATTCCTGCTTACTCAAGGTTAAGTAGTAAAACATGAATAAAGCAACACCAAGCAGAAGCAGGAATGAATAGAATGACAGGACCATTAGTCAGTGTTAGTTGGGCAACAGATGAATGTCAAGTCCAGCAAACAAATACTTCCACACAATGTTAGCTGTCAACCTCAGCTCACTGATAGTACTCCCTGGGGAGGTAGTGTAAAGGTAATATCATTGAATTAATACTCCAGAACTGCAGACCAATGCTCTGGGAACATGGGTTCAAATTCCTCTATGGTAGATGGCAAAAGTTGAATTCAATAAAATATCTGAAACAAAAACAACTAGAGGCTAATGGCAACCATTGTCGTTTGTTGCAGAACAAAAACTGGTTCACTAATGTTCTTTCAGGAAGGAAATCTTGCTATCCTTACCTGGTCTGGCCTACAATTGATACCAGACTGACCTACAGCAATGCCCTCTGGGGATTAGGGATGGGCAATAAATGTTGGTTTAGCCAGTGATGCCAACATCCCATGATTTTTTTAAAAAAAAACTATAATCTCTCATAAAAGGACATGAGAACAAAAACAGGATTCCATTGTTATGCCTTCACAAACTCTGGATGCCCTACTTTACAGACAAGTCACCATTATAACACAGGAAAGGCAGCAGTTAACTTGCAGGCATGTACAATGCATTAATACATTTGTTTTTGTAACGTTGATCAAAAGATAACTACCGGTAATGGCCAGGATACTAAGGAGAACTGACCTCTGAAAGAATGCCATGAGTAGATGAAGGTTCAATTTAATATTTCATCTGAATGGCACCTCCAATACTACAGCATTCCCAAAGTTTTGCATGAGGGTGTCAGCTTTGATTTTTATGCTCAACTCCAACATACTTCATAGACTTTGGTACATAATCAAGGCCAAAGTCTGCACTTAAAGAATGTAATAGATCCCACACCACTCACTGAACAAGAGAAGAGTTCTCTTGATGCCCTTGCTAATTTTATCCTTTGCTCAGATCATCTTTTTTTTTAGCGACGTTGATTATTTCATTGATATTTGTGGGAACTTGCTCTATGTAAAGTTATCTACATTTCAGAAGTTCTTCATTAGCTGTTAAATGCTTTAAGTTGTTGAAAGTTCAAGAAAACTGCTATATGAATGCAAGTATTTTCTTTCCAGTAAGCATCAGCCCTCTTGTGGTTTTTGTTCGCAGATATGCTGCTGCATAACTATTGAGATCTTAAACTTTGATGAAGAGAATACTACAGGAAATGTGCACTAAACATGACACTTTATATATAATGCATATCAGATGCACCATTTTTGCATCCATTAAAAAAAAAACATGTAGTAAAGAATAAAGCAAGGGAGGTGTGAGTTTTAGAAGTATTGTCACCCCTTATTTCATTCAGCACACTGCACCGTTTTAAAAAAAAAGCAATGCTTTGAGATGGAATTTCAATAATCTTGTATCATGATAAAGATTAAATTCAACTTTAAGTTAGCAATAACTAGAGCAATAAAAATGCAAGATACTATCGAAATAGTTTTTGGGTATATTCAGGACATTGAATGGTAAATTGCTTTGCAGCACACTTGCCTGCTCATGTGCTCTTCGTTGCTCAAGGTCAGTTGGATGAAGTACTTGCAGTTCACAAACTTCACACACATCCCCATGAAGGTATAAACAGCTGTCACCATAATGACAGTCACCAACTGAGGCAAAAGGACACAGCTGCTGTGCAGAATTATTGCTGCATACTGATGCTGAAACATCTAGTCCACTGCGAACTGCATCCAAATAAGATGGTGGCTTCACTGGAACATCCTCATAAGGAAATTTTGCTGGTTCAGGGAAATGCGATGCAGTCTTTGTAGAGTTGCAGTACGATGGTGGAAAAGGAAACAGTTTAGATTTTTCTGCTGCTCGGTTGCAAAGGTCTATAGAGAAGGATAAGTTCAAACAAGGTTGCAGGCATGAAATGTACTTAAATATTACACAATCACGCTTAGCAGATGTTAATGAATGCACAGACGATTACTTTCTGTAAGGTTTCCTCCCAAAATCTCTGAGTTTATAAACAACTGAAAAGTGTAAAACCAAGTAATTTTAGGCATACATTAATGGAACTATGCTGAAATACTGATCAAAGATGGACAAATGACAGAGGAGATGCAGACCTGAATGAGCAGGCATTCTGGGGATTGAAAAGTGAGACAAAAAAGTTGAGGCAAAAAAAGTCAGATTATATGCATAAGTTGAATGCAGGTATCATTCAGTTTATGATTTATGCATGGTTCTTAAACAAGGAAATTCATAATGCATGGCATAGTTGGATGGAATACAAGAGTGAGGTCCAGCACAGACTATTCGCATGCCACTTAAGAAACCAAGGCTGCAGTACACGTTAATAAATTATAAACAAATCAAAATATTTTTTCTACTTCATAAATAGCAAAACAAATAGAACTGAAGAACTAAACATTTCACCTTGTGGTAACAAGGTGGTTTTACTCAGCTTGTTTTTTCAGAGGTCACAGCAAAAGTCAAATGATTCCAAAATTGATTATAGCAGTACACAACCTAAAACCTGTTCCTTGGATTTTATAGATAGTAGGAACTGCAGATGCTGGAGAATCGGAGACAACAAGGTGCAGGGCTGGATGAACACAGCAGGCCAAGCAGCATCATAGGAGCAGAGAGGCTGATGTTTCGGGCCTAGACCCTTCATCAGAAAAGGGGGAGGGGAAGGGGGTTTTGAAATAAATAGGGAGAGAGTGGGAGGCGGATAGAAGAGGGATAGAGGAGAGGATAGGTGGAGAGGAAACAAACAGGTCGAAGAGGCGGGGATGG